CTATTTCTCTTTCCCTGTATTGTGACGATTGTCAGGTCGCGGGCTACGACAAGCCTCTAGCCTTTGCCGCACTATTGACATATGTCCCTCTCGTTCCATCCAGGATTTCCCGCTATTCGACGCTCCGCCCGTTTCGGACACTAGTCTCTAGGCTGGGCTTTCCTTTTTTTGAGTGATCGTACATGACCCCTTCCAGTGCTGGTCCCATCCCGGGTCCGCACCTTGACCAGTACGCCATGCTTTTACAGTCGGCCGACGTACTTCCCCTTTGCTGTACCACCGTCCCGATCTACCGCGGGACACCCCTCATTGGTCATCACCTCTCCCTCCAGCTAGCTCATAGCTGGCGACCGCCACTATACTACAGTGGTGTCCGAAACGGAACGGGTCTTCTGGACCCTGGTAGACGGCCGGCTTGGCAGGGCTTCCGGATTGTCGATCCGGGGGCGCTGTGCGCCTCTGTCACTGCAGGTACTTGCTCGCTCGGAGGCGGTGTCTTCTCCGGCGGAATCCGCACGGTTCATCGTCGATGATCATTGGCGATCCACGCGGTGATTTCCGACCTCTTTCAATCCGTCCGGTAATTACTCGGGCTGGCGATCCAGTGCGGTATCCACCTCCGTAGCTATACCCTCCACAAGAGTACCAAAATGTGGTATAACTGTCGTCGTCCAGACCACTCGGAAACGAGGGGGTTAGGGTTACCCACGCGCGAACGCAAACCGTGTGGATGGACTCCAAAAAGAGGGAACGCACACGTGGCAGGTGACGTTCGGCCGGTCGGAGGTGGAATAACCGGGCGGCCAGTCACGGATTGGAAGCCCGAGCGCTAAGGGAAACCGGGATCGGTGATAGCTTATAGCCGTAAAGAAGGGAGGCGAGTCTGCTTCCTCCTTACTGGGACGGGGCAGGTGCCCCCGGTCTTAAGCCTAAGTGGGACGCCCGGACACCTGTCCCACTAGCCGTTCCTTACTGTATACCAGCTACTGTACACAATTAATAAAGTTGTGCCATTAACTACTAATTACTACCTATAACCGTACGGATTACAGACGTGTGCGCGTAGCCACGCCAGAGGTCGTAATACGTGTGACTGTAGCATAAACCCCCGGTCGCGGTGGGGGTTTAGCTATAGTCGCGTAATGCCTGTGAGACGGGAGAAAACAACACCAAAACACGGACACCAGAACGTACGCGGGCGGTGGTAGCGTGGTAGAGCGGTGGGGAGCGGACGCGACTACAATGCGCGTTTAGAGCGGATCAACGCGCTCGACGCCCCGGGCGGCGCTAGTTAGCGTTCTAGCGCCGATGGGCGGAGGCGGATCCGGCTCGCTCGAGCACGTGTCGCGACCGCTACCCGCGTTAGTTTTTGGTTAACGCGCTCGCGTTAAGAGAACGCGTTTAGAATAAGCAGACAGGGTTAGACCTGCGGCGGAGGATCTGGTCAAGCCCGTGCTTGTCCTTCTCCTCCCTCCGCCGCCGGTCGCCCTGTCATTTAATATACAAGTAAAGAATCTATCATATCACACCACAGTATCTATCTAGTGGCTTACACGGTAAGCCAGTGCGCCGTACTCTTAATTGCTCCGCTATACACGTGCACAGCGCACAGCAAGCGGGTACTTACAGACGCATGCATACGCGCTGTAAGACGTGTTGAGGGTGTACAGTAGCCGCCGCCAGCAGTAAATAATCACCTTCGCGATTATGCAACCGTGACCCGCGGGGTACTACTGTACTCCGCGACGGGCGCGTGTACGCCCGCTCGCTACAGTAGCACCCGCTGTACCGTCGGGTTCACATCTCCCCGGGGTGGTCGTGGTACGCAATTGTACCACACCCCTCTCCGTTGGGGGTGTTTATGCTACAACTTTGACCGTACAGATAGTAAGTTGCTTAAGTTTTCAGCTCGTCACCGGCTATATTGGATTACACTACAGTAAAGCTGCGCGCGTCCAGTGCGATGTACTTCCCATGTTCTTTGATTTCTTTCCGTTTGGACTAGTCCTCCTGACGCACCGGCGTAGTGGTCCCGCAGGCGCTCTCATCTAGGTACAGCCTGTACTTGTTTTTCGTTTTCGGATAAGCGATACCTGCGCTTGTACTACACCAGTCGCTTGCTGCAACCGCCTATTCCAGCAGCACATCCATGCGAGATAGCGAGTGCTAACTGATTTTTCGTGACAGATCCCTGTCCCGCACTGCAAACGGGTTATAAATAGTTGGTACTAACGGCGTTTAGCGGCTTGCGGGAAGTTCGGGCACGCTGACAGGAAGAATGGAAAGCAGTTGCTTTTCTTGGGAGACAGAACTCTTATGCACAGCCCAGTGTACGATTGCGCGACGCTCGCTTTTTATGCCCTCGTAGACGCATCAGAAGAGGCACAAATATGTCCCTCGGCGTCCATATCCTTGATACGTCGTGCGTCTCAAGCTCTTCCACTTTTCTTCTTACAGGGCCTTGACAGCCCGCCCAAAGCTCATCGTGATCCGAAGATCCGGCTGCGTACGATGGAAGGGTGCCTTTTGGCTCGAGTGCGGGCTCACCGCCATAGCGGAGGTTGGCGTAAGGACATATCTCACCAGACTGCTCAATTCGGTGAAGTCGGCCCTGAAAACTCGGTTGGGGAAGGTGGCTCAGCTTCACAGAGTCAAATTAAGATTTATCATACCTGCTTTCAGCCCCAAGTGGTCCAATCTCGTTTCACGTTGAACGGCGGTGCGGCGAGATCTTGGCTTTACTACAGCGGGGTACGCAATTATAGGACGATTTTACAAATCTAAACGCAAAAAGACCAACGTTTTGCCAAATGATCCTGAATCTTCACAGAGTATCAACTGAAGATGTTGTGAGTGTTGTTACCTTCGAATGGCCGGAATCGGCCACCACTACTCGGAACGGCAAGGTCGGCAGTGGGGACCTCTGACAGAGCAGGTTTTGGAGAAACGTCTGGCAACCGCCCTACAAATCTGTCCCAAAATATTTAATGTAACGTTATTCTGCGCACTGCATTTTGGCCGGTGACCGACTCATCCCAAGCAAGATGCAGTAGTCAAAAGAGCTCCGCCACCACCGGAGATGGACGCAGCAGACGAAGACAAGACAGCAGAGGCGTCTGGCTGGAGCCCCTACGCTGTTCTCTTCTTCGCACCCGCACGTCTTTTCTTCACCGTGCGGTGAGGACTTTGTAGTCAGGCGGAGAACGGAATGCCGGCTCGATCTAGTGATGTTGGCGGTAAGGGTGTTTTTCTCTCGAACTGCAGCTGATTCGGCTTCCTTCGCGATGTGCTTCTCTTCTCTAACTTACCTCGCGCGCTCCTCTGCGGCTTTATTTTAGCCGTCTGCCTGTCATGTGCTAACGCAGCGGCCATTGCTTCCTCGGTGGTCAAGGGAAGTCTCTGTGACGTGAAAAGGAATCTGCGGCTGCTCGCAACGGACTGAAGCTGCATGCTGTAGAGCACTGACCGCCCTCGTAATCACGGTGCTGTACTGTAGCACACGCGGAATGCCTCACTATCATAAGTGATATATAGACCACGTGTAACCGTGTATCCAATCCCCCGCTCGTGGCCGGGTGTAAGCTCCATGGAGCCCTGTCGAAGTACTGACAGTCTACCCACGTGTACCTGTGGGTGGTATGCATCACGTTTATTCGTGCCATTACCCACGTGTACCCGTGTTATGCGTCACATTTATCCGTGCCAATTAACCACATGTACCCGTGGCCCACCACCACGTGTCACGGGTGTCGTGCCCCTTTTATTTTAATTAGTATTATTACTATTATTATATCCCGACGTCGACTTCTATATAGTCGACGTCCGGCCCGAAGTAAATCCTCACGAAGCCTTGGGTCGAGAACCTGAGTTTCTGGAATCGGAGTCGTAGCCTCGCGCCGGTCCCCGTCCCACGACGGTACCACGCGAGCTATCAACGTCCCCGAATCCCACCTACCTCTACCGGGCGCGCCCCCTGCTCCCCTACTGTAGCGTGCGCGCCAGCCTGTTCCAACCGCTCCGCCCCACCTGCGCGTGTCCTCCATTTCCTTTTACCTCTCTAATTCCCTACTGCGCATAGCGCCCAGCCCCGTACCGAATTCCTTTACGGGTGGTATCCCGAATCCTCTACATGCGCTCCCGAACGCGCGCGCTCTGTCAGAGGGGGATACCACCCTTCCCCCTTGTAGCGTAAACACGTGTTTACGCTACAAGGGGATTAGGGGATTAGCATACACCCTCGGTCGTCTACGGGTACCCCTAGACGACCGAGGGTGTATGCGCAGTCCGACGTAGACCCCGTTCGATCGTGAAGACGGGTGAAGCACCAGCTAACAAGGCAAGGAAGCGGGCCCTGGTAGCGGTGTGGTAGAGCAGGACGGTCTGGGACGAGCGTACGCGCGGGCTGATCTACTCCTCGACGCCCCGGAGCAGCGCTGGGTAACGTACCAGCGCCGACGGGCAGAGGCGGATCTAGGCTCGCTCGCGCACGCGTGTGTCCCCTACCCGCTCCCTTCCTCCTAACGCGCGCGAAGGCGAAGGTGCGTGGTTAGAATGAGCTGGGTGGCCTGACCTTGGCGGTCGGTTGTGGACAAGTCTGTGCTTCTCCCCCTCCTGCCGCCGTTGGTCCGCTCCCCATTTAATATACAAAACAATCTATCATAACACTACAGTACCGAGGTACTGTAGGGGGCTACTGTAGTGCAGGTCGGCCTGCACTGTAATATTGTCAGCTATGTCGAGGCTGACAGTACACGTAGTACCCGTGGTGCGTGCGCGCTTCGTTCGCGCGTGGTACACGTGTGCACGTGTATGCGCGTGTCCCTTGTCCCCGTGGTGTACACGTGGACACGCGCGGTTGTACTGTAGAAGGTCGAGCTCTACAGTATGGGATTCCGTTGTTGATCTAATCTAACTAAAAAAAGCCCAAGGGGGGGTAATACTACACCCCTCAGTGCACGACACATGCCTTCGCGTACTTTCGCAAGCTTCTTCTTGATCATCTACTGCATGGCAGTCATGGAGAGCTGTGTAGTGCTAGAACACCTTTCTCCTCCACCTATACGCAATGGGCGGTGCAGCAATCTGGCATAATCGATGGGCCACAAGCCCGTCTTGCGAAACGCTGCTTTGATGTTCTGCGGGGTGAAGGAGGCTTCGCACGTGTGGGTGGTAAAGAAAGAGAAGTCAAATTGGTCGTATTCAACTTTCCCGCTGGTTCCGGCCACCGATAAGATCTTGTTGCTCAGATGTTGTTTCAAATGGGAGTAGACAGAGACATCAAGAGACTGCGTCGCTCCACTCATATGAGCTGGTAGGCAGTGAACAATGAAGTTGCCTTCTTTTAGCATCCGAAACACCTTGAATCTCATACGGCTGCGGTAGCCGTCAAAGAAGAGATACACCATGCGTCTTTTAAGCGTTAGATCCTCGGCACTTCATAAAAAAGCTTTCGCTCACTCGAGAAAGTTTTCTTTGTCCCAGACGACAAGGTCCCGACCACTGGTAATTAGAGAGTGCCTCGGTAGAAAATCAGCTAACGTCTTGAACACAGGCTCAATTAGTTTCATCCATTTGGTCCTACAATCGTCCTTGTCTGAATACCAGTTCCCCTCAACATAAACATACAAATGCCGTGCTGTCGTCTGCACAGATCGCAGTCATCAATTTTCACCTGTCGCAGTTTTTAAAAAGTGGCTGAGACTGCTGCACTCGGACACCTGAGCAAGCATATGTTCTCTTACTCGTTGTGACGAAAAAGTCCTCTGCTGGTGTCATTCGGTTCTCGTCAGTTTTAAAAATCAACCTAACCTCAGGGTTGTGTAACTTGCAAAAGGTCTCCCAAGATATAAAGTGAGTAGTTACGTATCAGACAGTGTAGCTTGGAAACGAACTTCCTCTTGCTTACTTGCTCTTTCAAAGCGCAGCTTGTACTTTCGCCTCTCCTTGAAGTTGCGAAGCCATGTTTCCCTGCCTTCCGTTCTTGAACTGGAGCTTCTTGCGGCGATCCTCTGGAAAAGTTTCCACGAACTCTTCCGCTGCGTCGAGTTGGTCGAGTATCGTCAGAGGATAGCCGGTGTCCTCATACTCCTGAAGCCATTGAACGAGGATATCGTCCCCCGCTCCGTTGTGGCCTGGAGCACGTCCTGTGAACCTCGACCTAGCATTCGGACCAGCTTTCTCCGTTGTGATACGGTCTTGTAGAGTAGACTTCGGTGAATGAGCCCTGGCAGAAGCCTTTCCGCACAGACAGCTTCCCATCGATGCTCGCTTGCACAGAAACTTGTTCTCGCCGCTGTCTCCGCGATTCGCGACGAGATTCCTTGACCATCGCCGTGCGTCCAGATGACGAGAGGAGCGATGAGGAGAGGAGCGATGAGAAGAGGAGCGATGAGGAGAGGAGCGATGAGGAGAGGAACGATAGGCTTAAAGAAGCGACATGGGTACCAGCTGAGGATAGTGCCTCATAGACTGTCTGGACTCTGCAAAAGCAAACTCTGAATTGGGCGGGGAAAAAGCGCCAATCTGCCACTTTCGAATTCGAGGAATCGCGTGGTGTCATCCATTTCGCTCTATGACAAACGAACTGTCCAGGAATAGACAAGGGGGACAGAGGATTACTGCTACTTGACGCGTCTGGGGGGTCAAATCGTGAAATGGAAAAGGAATAAAATTACAGAAATCACTTTTGTCCAGTAATTGCCTGCCCTGTCCGATAATGGCGTACCCCCGCTGTATGGACTGGATAACTTGCGGCATAACTTCTATCCCACACACACATGCCGCAAGTTTTGCGACAAGGGCGGCTACAGAGCAGTCATCTCTGCATAGCTGCAGCACTTCTGGTTTACGGCGTCGTTACTTTCGGTATCGCAGAGTCTCAGCAAGCGTCCTCGGGTAGTGCCAGTTTCAGAACAATTGCACTTGCGGCAACACTGTCGCAGCTGCATTCGAAAGTGCCCGAGTTCACCTTTGCAGGCACTTGCTAGAACCGCGTGGCTGGAAAGCCAGGGAGATTAGTGCCAGAGCGTTTACACGACACACACATCAGGATAACACCGCTTCATCCAAAGACAAGAGTGGCTGACAAACGCTCAAGCCGGTGGCTCTGTTGGGAGGTAGCTTTGTTGGCCTTGACAGACCGTCGACTCCCTTTGCGACACATGGGACGAGCTCGTCGTGATGCAAACGCAATCTAACGTTGAGAATTTGATGTGAGTGACCTTGAATCAGCTAGAGAACTGTCCCAAGGTTGCGCGCATCAAGGAATCGAGAATGGCCAAGAGTTTGACCTCATCCGAAAGTACAGTTTTGACATATGAACAGTGCAAAGCGGTCACAGCCCCGTTCTACTGTGAGGAAAACGTGTGTAACATCCTGAAACTGGCCTTGCAGGCCGGTGCGAAGATTGGGGACTTGTTCGCTGTTTTTGTCAGTAGTCCCGACAGACTTGTTCCGTTTCGTGAGCAAAAGTCCACATTCAAAGAGAAAGGGGGCATGTGCTATTGGGATTATCATGTTATCCCGTTGATTCTTACATCTACAAGGCGAAATTCAGAGAAGACCGCTCTAGTTTATGACGTTGATTCTGTATTGCCTTTTCCGTCCAGTCTACAGCATTACGTTACTCATTCTATTCCGGCACCTTTTCATGGAATGGATTATCAACAAATCCATATAAAAGAGTTCAGGCACTGCTTCCGAGTGGTGAACTATGGAGAGGTTATGACGCGCTTTTCATCAGATAGGAGACATATGCTGCTCCCTGCCTCTCACTGGAGGGAAGCTGGTGTTCCTGAGTATACGAGCGTGCCTCCACCATGGCCATGCTTCAAGCCAGATGCAAGCTCTCATCCACACTCTCTGCCCTTGTTTTTGAAGATGGACGCTGCAATGGAGGACGACTTGTTTAAGGTTAACGGCGAGTTGTCTCAAGAAGAAGCTCCTGGGGAGCTATTCTGTTGCGTTGAGGACCTCTTCAAGTTTTTCGACAGGTTAATCGTTGATCCTCACTAGCCAGGCTCTTGAGCTTTTGTACCCTTCACAGCAAGACTTGTTCAATCTAATGCAATTTCCGAAACTTCTATTAACATGGAAGGCGTTTAAGAAGGGCAGGCGGACCGTGCCAATGTTTTAAGGTATCTCTATTCAACGTACAACAGACTACTACACCTGCGGAGAGATTTGATGCTGCACATCTTGGTAGAGAGCAACTTTCATGTCAGCTTATTCCAGATTAACAACATGAGTGCACAGTGTATTTGGACTTCTTCGTGTGGTCAGAGAGTATGAGGTTATGAATGAGTTCGGATCTACCGTTCTTCTGAACGCCGGACTGCAACAGAATATTCTGTATTCTCTTGACAAGGACATGATACAAGAAGTAAAATCGACTGCATTGGTTCTAATGATCCTGCCACTGCAGGATGGCCAGCAGATCGAATGTGCATCTCTTAATCCATAGATCCTGGGTCTTCTGCCGGACAGTTAGCGGTCCTCGTGCGCACTTTTATTTGAGATTCCATGTTCCAGGCTTCTAGACTGCCACGAGGTTGTGTCAACGTCGTCATGGCGAGCCTTCCAAGCACTGAATATAGCCGGGGTTTGCGACCGGACTGTACGTAAGGCGACTTATCCTTGAATAATTGAGGTTTTCGTGAGTCCGAATGATCCTTAGCGTTGCGCTGACGTTCGCAGCAGTTCCCTCAAACTTGTATTTTGATGTGCGGGGACTGAGAAGTGAAACGCAGCAAGAGACATAGGGCAGCGACCATTCCCTCACGAGCTTGCGTCGTAATTGAATGTACTTCACCATCTGTGCTGCTATAACCCCAACCGAGCAAAGCACGTCTTTCATTGAGAGACATACTGTACCTTCCGAAAATCAGGCATGCGGGCCGTGAACACATGCAGTTCTGCCAGCAGTGGGTGTTCGCAGGTCAGCACCTCAACATCAGCTTTGTTGAACGATGCACCACGAGACGTGGCCTGTCCCAGCTGGTTTGGGCTTGGGGGAATGGACTTGTCCAATTCTTCTAAGTCTTTTGCGGCCATGCAAGTCTATCCAACCAGCGTTTGTCTATTCTACAATCGTCCAGCAAGCGTTCGCACTTAACTCCAGCCCAAGCTTGCATTCCGTGCCCGCGCCGCCTCTACAACCTCGCATACGAGCGCGACGACATAGGACGCCACAGGCCATACCCGTGCAACCCTGACTTGGCCAAGGCGTTTAGCCTGTGACATAGCCTTGCAATCTTCTTCGCCCCTTCCCCGCTACCACTCGCATACTCCCTGCCAATCGTTCCCAGTCGATTCAGCACTTCCGGTCGATACTCATCTAGCAAAATCCGATCCCCTTCTACCTCCGGGTTGAGCCGAAAGTACACGTCATCCCTCTCGATCAAGTCCTCCAACGTATGATGGACGCCCTCGGTATCCGTCGCAGATTCCAGCACTGCCTGCGCCACCCGAAACGCCAAGCCGCCTCCCCATTCCCTCCTATTCTTCCCCTCCCCTTCACCTCCCGCGCCCAGCTTCTCCTCCTCGCGTCGGCTCGGCTTCGCCCCCTCTGCAGCGTCCACCTCCCTCTTCACGCTCTTCTCTGATTTCTGCAGCGCTACCTCCTCTCCGCTCTGATTAAACAGCCCTGTTCCCACTGATACAACAACGCCCAACGGTCTCCCGGGCCATAAACACCTCGCCTCATGAATCGCGACGCTGGTGGGATTATTCACAAGCACAGCCCCGTCGCAAAACACCTCCCCCGTTTCATCCGTGAACGGATCAAAATAGACTGGCGCGGCTGTCGTCGCGCGCAGCCCTTCGCTCAAGCGATGGACTCCCCCGTGCGCATACCTGGCCCTTCTCCCCTTCTCCAGCGGCAGCTGATAGTTAGCATGCAAGTAGGGCCTGGGCATCTCTACCCTCCCCTCGCTTCCCCTAATCTGCGTCGATAGCACGAAGACACGGGGGGTGCCATTTCCCGCCGCATACTCAAAAAACCTGCCTTCTCCACACTCCTTCTGATAAATATTGTTAAGCGCCCTAGTATCGTAAATGCCGCGATTCAACAGCAGCACCTTCCCTGCATGGTAAATCCCCGACGACGTGGTCTTCCCGGGCGGCCCACCCCGCATCGTGAAAACCTCTCTCGCGCACCGTAAGTACAGCTCCTCGCACTCCTTCAACGACATGCCCAACAGGCCAATAGCGACAGCCAAGACGCCGCCGGTACTCGTGCCTGCAATCAAGTCAAACGAGTCCCGTATGGACCTTCCCGTCAGCTCCTCGACTTGCTTGAGCACCTGCAACGACAGGACGGCTCTAGTGCCACCACCGTCCAGCGCGAGGATGCGCACGGGCCTCCTGTAGCCGGCGGCGGCGGCGACGAGCATGCCCGCGCGCGAGCGGAAGCCGCCCTGCGCAGCGGCGACGATGGCCTGGAACTCGTCGGGGCGCATGCCGGACTTGACGGCCATGCGGCGTGCGTCCTCCCGCATCGCGGGGT